GTATCACATATTCAGAGCATGCAACTTGCTGCTAACTGAGGTAACATTGCATATACGAAAGAGTAATATTAGAAAGAATAAATTTGTAAACTAAATAATGTGTCATCAATAAGAAATGAGCACATTTATAAACTTTTAAGTAATAATAATTTCATCAACTTTCATGTCATTTAATTTACAAAATTTAATCTACTAATTTAGTCTTCCTAGTATTACTCTATATGAAATTATGGATTATTGATATATAAAAATCGAGCAAACCTTGAAACTTGAGCCTCAAGTTGTGGATAATTAGGTTATCTAAGACATGCGTGTTTTGGGTTCTATCATAATTCATATAACCCTAAACTTTAGTCCTAAATCCTAAACTCTAGTCAAGAGGACTAAATCATTGCAATCTCGAAAACTGCCTTAGAAGCTCCACGAGAAAAAGACCGCACCACTATCTAATAATTTTGCAATTTTAGCAGAAAAGCCCTGCTACGAATTCTTCTTTTTGTTTTTACATATATCCTTGCAGAAACTATAAAATATAATCACTTTCACATCTCATCAATCACTAGATAATTTAGTCTTACCTAATGCAATTAAGATTGTGACCTGTGTCAAGACTCAAAGATTAATTAATGGGTTTTAGGTACTCCGCATCAGTCCAAATCACGTCGGCAGTAGGCTGGCACCACTGAGATTATTACCTTAAGCACGCAGCTCAGTTTCTCAATGCATATGTTTATGCTCATTATTCTATATATGGATAATATGTATTATATAATGTCAAAGTTCCTCGTAAGGAGACAAAAAAAGTTCCAATTATAGGATAGGAATAAATCGATCGTACGTCGTTTGTTTTCTCCAACTGCCCAACACCGTATCGTCACCGTAGATTGCATATCTTCATATGCCCCGTGGGTTTTGTGTGGGTAAATAATTAAACATGCCTAGTATTTTGTGTGGTAGTTCAATCTTCAATGGTTTGGCTTCTAATATCGTCTGTATTCGAATTTAATAAAATCTTCTATCATTTGACAAAAATATAATAATTAAACAAGCACAAATATATTATAAAATAAAGTGATTTATGCTTACATTTTTTTTTATCTTTGTACATTTTTATATGTATTTATTTTTATAAAAATTAAATTAAAATAGAGTAAAATAAAATCAAGAACGTGAATTAAGAATAATAATAAAATGCAGCCAGTCATTACATCAAGGGTCTACTGTCTGATTAATAGGATGGAAATAGTTGCTTGCAATATTGCTACATCTTTCTTTTCCACAAGACAAATAATTTTGATTTGTATTCCATCATTGGAAGACTTTGTGGGTGACAATATTTGAGGCTGTACCAATTTCAACTAATTAGAGGCATAAATTTGGAGGATTGGAGGACTTTGTTGGTATCAATATTTGAGGACGTTAACTTTCAACTAGTTAGAGGCATAAATTTGGAGGATTAGAAGACTTTGTGGGTTACAATATTCAAGATTGGTATTGCATGTATCACTTTCAACTAATTACTAGAGGCACAATTACGAAGGATATATATGGTTGGTTTCTTCATCTAATTCTGTCTTTTTATTATGATTCATTTCCAACTTTATTATTTGATGGCGACATTATTGTTTAAATTTTCTCCCTTGTCAATAACAACATAATACTGACTTGTTCAGTACATATTGATGTTAATATGTGACATTTAGTCTCTTAACGTGCACATTGGTGAGTCCAATTTTGTGTTGCTCAATTTGACTATGACTACTTTATCACTTATCTAATTTCTTAACTCTAACAAAATGAGCACATTAAGACTCCACAATGATATGAGTCTAATAATATTATCTCACGCCAATCTATTGTCTGTGTTTGCACTCTTCAAGGGATTGTCTAAGATACCTTTTCACAATTTAGCATGCATTGGAAAGATGTATTGATAGTGTTGGAGAACAATTCAGAATGAAATAAAGGAAATAATTACATAAATTAAAATGATACTAACTTGATTGAATTACAGATAGAGGTTAGTGCAAAAGTTATGTCCTTCGAACAGCATTTCCGTTCCACTCTTGTGCTTGTGATTCTACGACGTCTACTCGACCAGGATACAACCATCTAATTCTACAACCTGCACTGGATTATAGAATTATGGCAAATTGTTTTGTATGTTTACTCTCTGGGAATTTTGTTTGGAAGAGAAAGAGGAAAAGAATGAAGCTGTTGGAAACTGAGATTGCAAATATATAGGTTGTTTCATACCCTTTCAAATACCTGCTAAATGTATTTGAAAGTGCACAAGTCTTTCTCAAAGATGTGTCTCTTAATCAAAACATTTTTTAATTAATATGTTAATTAAAAAGTTAATTTGAAATTAAAATTAATGAACTCTGATTAATTTTAACTTCCAAGGCCCAAGGCCCTTGTCTTGATTAATTTAAATTAATTATATTAAGCTATATTACACAAGCTTAATCCACACAACCATAAGGCCCAAGCCTTCAATCCATTACCAAATGGTCCAAATCGTAACTACTAGTATAAAAGACAAAACATATATAAATGCCCTTGGGAAACCTATGTTCCCCGATGTGGGACATGGAGTCTCAAAACACCAACAATACCCTACATTTTGAGACGACTATTAGGTCCTAGAGAAACTAAGATACGAGAGTAAACAATAGATGTGACATACATCAGGAAATGTGTCATTTGGACTTGAACCTACCTTAGTATATACTTATCGAATTTACTAGATGACGCAATGACTATAAAATCTTGAATTGTTTATCTCTGCAGTAAACCAAGATGATAAGAAAAACTAAAGGATATATATGATTACAATATTGTGGGTTACAATATTCAAGATTGGTATTGCATGTATCACTTTCAACTAATTACTAGAGGCAAAAATATGAAGGATATATGTGTTTGGTTTCTTCATCTAATTCTGTCTTTTTATCATGATTCATTTCCAACTTTATTATTTGATGGCGACATTATTGTTTAAATTTTTTCCCTTGTCAACGACAACATAATACTGACTTGTTCGTACATATTGATGTTTCTATATGACATTTAGTCTCTTAACGTGCGCAATGATGAGTCCAATTTTGTGTTGCTCAATTTGACTGTGACTACTGTATTACTTATCTAATTTCTTAACTCTAACAAAATGAGCACATTAATTAGAATAGGACTCCACAATGATATGAGTCTAATAATATTATCTCACGCCAATCTATTATCTGTGTTTGCACTCTTCAAGGGATTGTCTAAGATACCTTTCACAATTTAGCATACATTGGAAAGATGTAATTACAGTCCTTAGCAAGGTATAGGAGCCCAAATATCAACGAAAGTTAGTACCTTTTTAGATGCAGGCAGTTACTACCAATTCTCAAGCATCAATTTTCAATGGGTTCTTTTCGAATCTACTAGCTGTCCCACTGCAAAATGAGACTTAAGACGAAAATGGAATGAGGTTTTTCTAATTTAGTACGTTAATATAATTTTTTTCAAAGCAATATGAATTTCAGGTACATCATATGAGATTTATGAGAATTAGAGTTTTTTTAATTTTTTTTTCTCCTTCTTTCTAATTAAGGATTTAAAGTGAGGCGCAAGGCATATGCCTTATTTGTCTTGCCGCTTTGCTGCCTTTGAGCTAATTTTTTAGTGGATGCTTAACAGATTTAAGTCACTCTTTTGGTGTCATTGTTTTACTTGTTTAGCTTCTAGTTGGGGAGCAATTTTTCGGTGTACCCGGTACACCAAATTTTTTTGGTGTACCCTCACTCATAATGGTGAGGGTACACCAAAAAAATTTGGTGCACCCTCACTTTTTGTACACCAAAAAAATTCTAATGAGTGAGGGTACACCAAAAAAATTTGGTGTACCCGGTACACCTAAAAATTTTCCCTAGTTGGGGTTTTGGTTGTAAGAGGGATATTGTCTTTAATTTGTTTAAAAACCATCTTATAGACCCTTACACAATGGGCCAGTTTGCAAGGCCTTCATTACTACAGTTCAAGGCAAAGGTCCAAGGTCTAGGGAGGGCGGAAGTTGAGAGTTGAACGCTTGCAACAAGCATGACAATTAAAAGTACTTTATCACTGAAACTATGATACTTCTGACCACCCCATCTTGAGATGAGAAGAATTAGATAATACTTGGTACTCATTAGTGAGTGTTCGGATCTCTTCCACCAAGACCACCGGATCAAGTGATTCGGGCCTTTCAAATTTCATCCAACGGCCCACTTGTTTTGATCCCTTAAAAACTGTAATAATTTTTTACTGTTGGATGAAATTTGAAAGGTCTCCATCACTTGATCCGGTGGCCTTGGTGGAAAAGATCCGGAGAGGATCTCTTCTCTATTCTATGTACTCATTTTTCAATTTGGCCCCATCAAAAAATGACATGTGTTCCTTGTTTTTTAAAGCCCAAGAAAAATTAATAAGTATGTCCATTATTTCTATGAATATTGACTCTTAAATAATCATCATTATTTTGTTTGGAAAAAATTGAAATGATATGAGTGCAAGAGGATTATTTTGGTTGAATTAGAGCACCCACAATTTACCTTACAACGCTTGTTTTTGCAGTTGCTATTGCAGGTGTGAGTATAACCACATTAATTAGATTGTATGCGTTCTGCCTAAATCTGAATTCGAATCTCCATCCCCATAGATAATAATAGACCTGAACTCGAATCTCCATCCCCATAAATAATTTAGACTAATTTAATGTAGAATATTGTCATTTCAAATGGAAAAGAAATATGGAGAGCCGAATGAATAAATTTGTGGTTCAAATAGAACCCATAGAAACAACATTGGGCCTACTCCCAATTGGAGGAAAAACTACAAGCTTCATCTTGAGTCTTGGCCCCATTAATCAAGCCCAAAAACCACCAAAAAGGCTAAAAGAAAAGCCCAAATTTAAAATAAAGTTTGCACCTCCTCCTCCAACATCACCAAGTTAAAATCCGATTAAGATTGAACTTACAGTAGAAGACTTCGATTACTTCAAAACTTAACACAAACACACTCCGATCAAAAACGTAAAAGCGTTTAACTTACGCCAATCGCTCGCCTCACCACCGCGAAATTTCCACTCCAATTCCTCGCAGAAATCTAGGGTTTCCTTAATCGCTCTGAATCCCAATTCACTGCCATCGCCGAGCGCACCATGAACTGTGAAGTTTGCCAGCTCAAAGAATTGGTATGATTCTCTCTTTCTCTCTCTCTCTCTCTATTATTATTTTTTTTTTGCTAATTTAAAGAAATAAATTTGTATTTGAAAATTGGAGTTTTACTGCTGTTTCAGGAAGTCGAGCACTTTGAGATACGGGAAGTTCTGCGCTGTAAGTTAGCAATAAAAAATCATACTTTCTTTTACATTGAATTTCAAGTTAATCAATTGAATTTCAAGTAATTTAATTTGTTTGGTTTTTTTCAACTTTGTCTGTGTATATGTATTAGCTTATGTCTCTTTACTACTGATATCGAAAACTCTGGAGCTTAAAGATTTTAGTATGTAGAGATTGTTTGAACAATTCAACTTCGATACGTGTTTTAGTATAATTGATGTTAAAGTATGTATCTTTATGTAAAATAATGTTTGCTTAAGTGAGGGAGTGTGTGTTTTCATTCATATTTGTATTTTTTGTTTTCGGGTTTGCAGTGGTCTTCAGTCATCTTTTTATGATTCAATAGCGATATTGAATAATGTAAACTGTACTTAAAAAATCTATGGTTGTAATGGAAGTGAAGAACCTTTAACTTTTCTTTTACGTACTTTTTTGTGTTCTCTGCCAAATGACAGTCAAAAGTGGGGATCGAGAAATTAAAAAAAGAATACATGTTCAAGGAATTGAGCTTGCAAGTGTGAAAATTTTGTTGCTGGTCATTTCTTAATGTTTAGTATAGCATGATCAACATAACAAATGGGTATTTTTTTTGGTCTTTAAAGCCATCTCAGTTCAGGTCTATTAGGTTTTCAGATTGGTTTCTAAACAATTATATTATTCTTCTCAGGTTCTCCTCTAGTTGCATATAGGATGCATGTTCCTGCACTCACTGTGCTTTCAGTATATTTGTTTTTCACGTCAACTTACAGAACTTTATACTTGAATGTAGGCATACTTCACACAATTGTGTTTCATCGGGCTTTGGGTCTTGTGCGGCCCAAAGATGTTGATTTAGAACTTTTCGAAATTACATATGTAAGTACTTTCTATGCTCTATATATTGGTTTCTTTTGATTCAGACCTTTTCAAAATATCATTCGTGCACATGCATCTTAGTTAGCAGCAGTTAATTTGGAATGATTTTTTCTTCTCAGTTTATTTGTCCCAGCTTATTGGATGAGTGAGAATGATTATAGGGATCAACATTGTTGTATTGCATGACTTTTCCCTTTAACCAAATAGTACTGTGTTTTGACATGCCCAACTGAATTATACATTTACCAGCATGCTTTTATTGGAGCACTAATGCCAACTGAAAATTCTTACAATCACAATGAAACTTCAACCGGAAATTAGTTTTTTCATCGTGTTTGTTTGTTTGTCGAAATTTTGGCATCAGATCCTGTGTATTTATATTTTGAGATCAATCTTTATGATTATAATGCTTGCGGATTCTAATCATCCTCAATGTGGGAGTGGGATTGAGCTGATGTGTACATTCTGATCTTTAGCCTCTGATATGTGTGTATTGTGTGTAAATCTTCCTTTTTGTGTAGGTGCAATGCGGAGATATTGAACTTGAGAAAAAAATAGATGAGAAGATTGAGCAATTCATTAATTGGGTAGAGAAACACCCAAACAAGAAAAGTCAGGTTTGTGCTTGCCGTTGGTTTTAAGTAATCATCCAATCACAAGTAAATTTATCAATTCTAGGAAAGATAATTCTTCTACAATCATCATTTTGAATCACTTGTTTGATTTCTCAATATATATTTTTCTGCGAAAGTGTCCTAAATTAACTGCCATGATTTGTGATGCAGGTCTGCTTGTCTTTCTTTGAAGTGAAAAACAAACAGCCAACTTGGTTTCCGCACAAAAGAGAAAGGTTATACTGGGAACAATGGTATATAAATTTGAATGTGGCACAACACCCGAAAGCACATTCGGGCAAATCTCATAATTCTAAAGTTGTAGTTGATCCAGGAGGTACAATTATCGTGTACTGAATGTGTATTCTCTGATGCTTCACTTTCTGGAAGCTATGCTGACACTGACCTTCATATTTGTTTGACCTATGAGTGCAGAGAGTGCATTGGACGAGAGAATGGCTCGCAGATCAGCACTTGAAGCATCTCTTCATGAGGTTTTGTTCCAAATAATAAAATTTGTGAATGAGAAGAAAGATCATGTTCCCCCGATACCACATACTGAGGGTGTAGTCTATTTCCCTCATGAAATTGCTATCCCAAGGTTGGTTCTGCATTTATGCATTTATCTTTTGAAACTTGGTACATATATCTTACATCTTGTCTTTGAGTGAATAAAAGGAATATATAATCATTGACACTAAGAATAATTGTTGATATTATATAATGTAATTATCTTTGTAGAATTTTGTCAAGGCGGAATGCATTTGGTATCATTGACGCTAAAGATAATTGTTGATCTGTTGATCTTATATAATGTAGTTATCTTTGTAGAATTTTGTCAAGGCAGAATGAGGTTGGCAGTTATCTGATGCCTGCAATAATTTTACTAGGAAATGCCTTGCTGCCAGAAAAGATTTTTGTGTTCGTGGAAATAGAATTTTATGGTAGTTTAATATATGCACTGACAATTTTATTTTTCTTTTAATTGCCTTACCAACTAAACTTTCCTTGGTTATATATGCCAGTTGTAGTTTTTGTTCATGGTGTTGGAAAAGGAGTTTTGTTTGGTCGATGGTATGCTTAGTGAGAGAGCCAGATTGGTTCACTACGCTCATTTAGGTTGTATTTTGTCATGTCTGTACACTACACACGTGAGCAGATGTACATTTCTTAGCATGTTACACAGGGTTGTATGTCTGTCTGCTTGAAAAGGTACGCAAAAAGTCAAAATGAATGTCAATGCCATAGAGTCATAGACAGTCCAAATAAACACATGATCAGAGCATTCATTGGGCGTATTGACAAGTTGAATTGGCGACGTGCTTCATATAAAAGAAAGGTTAACACAGTTGTGGACCGAGTTTGGTTAAAACATAGGATTTAGGAATTAGTGTTGTATGAATCGGTCGAAAAACTGTACGTTCTGAACCTCAACCCTGATGTGGATCCAATTTATTATGACTTACATAAATGTGACTTTGTCAAACCACTTTACACGTTCCATCCAACTACCAAAACCAGCGTGCTGATATAGGTTGGAATGCGATTCTAGTTAATGTACAGGTGAAGCCTATGTCTGCGTCCTAGTTTCTTAACAAGAAGTTGTTATTGTTATTGGTGCTGCTGTGATTGTTATGATTGTTTTAAGAAGTTTCTCTGAATCTCATGATTAGACTGCTGATTTGATATTTGTGTTGCCTTGGTCAGTTCCTCGGATTCTGCATTTGGGATGGACATGATCAAGAGGATGCTGCATACTGGCCATCCAACCATGCTTAGCTGATTATCTGCTTTTGTGAGCATATAACGCGTTTTTAATCTGCTCCAAAAGTAAGTCAATTTCCATGTTCATGATGACTCGAAAGGTCCACGAATGTGTTAAACCGATAATCTTTTATGAGCAAGGTTTGTTTCTATGTAAAGTAAACTCGAAGTGCATAGATTGTTATTTTCTTTATGTAAATATTCCCTTCCTTCACATTCCATCTCCATTCATGTGTGTTCATCCCTTTTGGAGATTTTTCAATCCCGGTGCATGGCAGCTTAAAAGTTTAAGTTGAAACTTTGTATATTTTAGTATTTTGATTGAAGGACATTTGTGGTACACTATCACTCATAGCTATGTGTACAATTTTAGTTTTTCCTTTTATTTTTTTGCTTTTTAGGTTAAACGATAGCAATTTTTGGTTTGAAAAGATAAATGCATTAATCTAATAGTAGGTTACAGGCCAACTCAAAGGAAGGCAAAATAACCCAAATACATTGGGGGAAAACAGATACATAAAAGCTAAACCCAATTAAATAAACTAAAACGGGAACCCAAATTCCTAATTTTTAACCGCAGAAAGCAGCGTTCGTTGCTGTCATTGCTATGAAAGTCTTGCCAGTAGCTACTGAAGCAGCAATACTAGTGAAAACGACCAAGTGGTGAAAACAAACAAGACATTGCAACACAAAAGTACTAAACCCGGAACAAGAAGGACATCGCATCCATATTTCTTCACCAAAGATGCAGAACCAAAAGATAGTCACTAAATACAAATCTCATTCACGAATCCCAGTAAATATATATAAACATAGTAATACTTGGATAGAAGTAGGGGTATGTAAAATACCCTTACTTTGGGCGAAGTTGCAATACACTTGGCATGGATGGAAATCCGGCAAGTCGTCCTTTTTTTTTTTGGGGGGGGGGGTGGGGGGGGGGGGGGGCAGTGAGGGAGGGAAATAAAGTTGGCAACCATATTTGGCTCAAGGACACTGAGAAAAATCTCAGGGAGAAATTGAAAAAGAGAGAAGAGGATCAAGAGAAAAAGAGAAAAAGGAGAACAAGAAACTTCCACCGGCACCCAAGCCAAAAGCTGGGGCCAGCGGCAAAAAAGTTTGCAATGTTGAGAAATCAAAGAGAGAAAGTCCCACGCATTTTCTGCTAAAAAAAAAAAAACTTGTTAATTGGTGATCATGATTCATAAACGATAGCAATTTTATTAGAACTGTAACAGGGCATCCTATTAAATTTATTAAGTTCTGAACCAAAAAACTTGTCCAAAGAAAAAGAAAAAAAATTCACCTTGGCCAATTTAATAGCCTTTATATCGATCAATGTGTGCGTGTGACAATTAAATAGCCTTTATATCGGTCAATATGTGAGTGTGACAAGTATGCGAAGTAGAAAATCGATACAGTTAGCACACAAAATTTGGAGAGTTTTTAATGCACTTAGAATACAAGATGATACATTACGTGTCATAATATAAGTAAAAAAATGATATATATTTTCAGTGTCCTCTGCTTATATTATGACATGTGTCGATTTGTGTTTCGACCTACTGAACAATTTCTTTAAAAGTTGTACAATCTTTAGACCAACTCCAACAATGGCTTATAACCTAAAATTCCCCTTTTTTTCCCCCCAAAAACTGACACATCCAGATCCAAAAATTGGGGCGTGTTGGCCGTCACATGAAGGTGACGTAGCCAAGTGCGCAATGCGGAAGTAAAAGAGTGAAAATACGAGAAAAATGAAGTCGACAAGATAATTTATAATAAAAAGATCAGTGAGTGACAGTGACGAACATAGAAGGAAAAATGCAAAGTAAAAGTTCAAGTATCCTAGGTGCAGTCCAGAATAAACAATACTACACAAGTGTTAACTAGAAAGTCCTACATGGAGGGTGCTCTGTCATAAATGCCTCGATGCCTCTTTCGTCACCCACGTCCTCGCTACCTAAAACTTGGAGGGGCGCAAAACAGAAAACGTGAGTGGGCAAAAACAAAGTTTGTTTTTCAAACCTCTGTAAAACCCGTATACTTTCCAGATAATATTATACGTACTCGTATATCAAATCATGCTAAAACGATAAAGCTCAAATATGCCATGCCAGAATATGCCGTGTCAGAATATCCAAACAAATAGTATAAGCATCAAGCAGGTGAGATAAAACAATCAAAATATGCCGATAATATCAGTACGTCAGCCGGAGTCACCTAAGGTGACATGTACGACTGAAACTATAGCTCCTCAACCACTATCCTGTAGACGAGTCAGAACCACCTATAGTGGTTTGTACGACAGGCTGGTGTATATAAATACGCTAAGTGCTACAATCACGTGAAGGCTGTGCGATGTATCGCAAGTCACCTATGAGTCGGAACCACCTAAAGTGGTCTACACGACAGGCTGGCACCTGCCTTGGATCCAAGGTGAGCGTACGGTGCGGGAGGTGAATGATCACGTGAAGGCTAGGCCCTTCTTTGGCGGAGCACAATCACCAAGGTGCATGAATATAAGCTATAACTCAATCTCATCAACACCACATCTATCACTAACAATGTGACATCCCACATCACCCAGGGGAGTGATCCTTATATGTATATTCCTATCTCTACCTAGCACGAGGCCTTTTGGGAGCTCATTGGCTTCGGGTTCCGTTGAAACTCTGAAGTTAAGCGAGAAAAGGGCTAGAGCAATCCCATGATGGGTGACCCACTGGGAAGTTGCTCGTGAGTTCCCAAAAACGATACCCTGAGGGCGTGGTCGGGGCCCAAAGCGGACAATATCGTGCTACGGTGGTGGAGCGGGCCCGGGAAGTGGTCTCGCCCGGGCCGGGATGTGACAATTTAGTATCAGAGCCTAACCCTGGTCGCGTGTGTGCCGACGAGGACGTCGGGCCCCTAAAGGGGGTGGATTGTGACATCCCACATCGCCCAGAGGAGTGATCCTTATATGTATATTCTCATCCCTACCTAGCACGAGGCCTTTTGGGAGCTCACTGGCTTCGGGTTTCGTTGGAACTCCGAAGTTAAGCGAGAAAGGGGCTAGAGCAATCCCATGATGGGTGACCCACTGGGAAGTTGCTCGTGAGTTCCCAAAAACAAAACCGTGAGGGCGTGGTCGGGGCCCAAAGGGGACAATATCGTGCTACGGTGGTGGAGCGGGCCCGGGAAGTGGTCTCGCCCGGGCCGGATGTGACAAACAAAATACGCACTTGACTTACCTGAGCGTCCGCGGCACCAAAACATAACCAACACAATCACAATAATAATATCGACGATATTCGACATGACATTTCAATTATAAAACCATTAAAACGTAATTTCTGGAAAGATACCAATCAATATATATATATACTAAAAACAAAAGCCCACTCACTGATACGTAAAAGGATCGTAAGCCTCGAGCCTTGCGTGGCTGCGCTCGTCCTCCCGATAGTCCTCACCTATATGCGAAACAACTATGAAACCATCAATTTAACGCACATAACCAACCTTAGGTAATAACTTTTCATACATTGCTCAATTAGGGTGTTTGAATATACCAACAGGCTCTACTCAACCTCACGAACATCTCCATATTTTTAAAATAATTTTCTGACCTCCCACGCGCTGGCCAAGGCACGGCCAGACGTGCAGGCACAGGCCTGGCACGCGTGTGGAAACCCTAACGCCGTTAGGGAATATTCTGTTAAAACCCTAACAGAAGTTAACGGCCGTTACCTGACGCCGTTAGAATCTTCCATTAACTCTGACAGAATATTCGCCTCATTCTCCGGTGAGCCTTGCCGGTCGCCGTCATCTGCAACTCGAAATTTCGTTGGTTCTGGAAAAACTTCAAACCTTAATATCTTCTTCATTTCTCAACCAAATTCCATGAAATTTGTACCAAAATGAAGCTTACAACGAGTAGAACAAAAGCTTACCACTTTTGGAACCTAAATCCAACGGAATCTCGCCGGAGGAACCTCGATAATCCGGCCAACCCTACAACTCGATGAGCTCGAGCTTCCCGACGTCACTTCAAAATTACTCCCCAAGCTTCGTGAAGATGTCCTAAAGCTTCCTACAACCTTAAAACTCGATGAAACCTCCGCGATCACGAGTGCATGAACAGTGCACCAAAACTGGGTTCTCGGGTTTTCGAAGGTTTCACGTCCTAAAAATGGTATGGATAAGTTCCTGGGCTTGCAAGAAGTCCAAAACCAACCTTCAAACCTTCAATCCGTGCGTGGAAAGTTGGCTTCGAAGTTTGTCCGTACACTTGCAAAGGAATGGAAGAAATCCAAGAGAGAGATAGTCATGGGAAAGAAGGAGATGGTTGTGTGTGAGTGTGTGGTCCAGATGGCAGCCCACCAACCAAAACAAAACAAACAACACTTTACAACGCCAATTAACATCTAGGGGCAAAATCGTCTTTTCACACCTACGGTACAAATAATTTGGGACGGGCTATCATAAAAACCCATTCCAACCCAGGACCTAAAACTAACCTAAAACCTAAAACCTAAAACTAACCCAAATACCAGCCCAAATTTAGGCCACAAAGCAAAGTGGACCCTAGCAAATGAGATTGAAACTGGGCTGTGAAGCCCACTGCCCAATTCATGACTCGCCTACGCGCCCACGCGCTAGGTCTTTCCCACCAGAAAAACATACCCATGTGGGGTTGTTTCCTCGATGTCAGATCCATAAGTAGCCCAACGGCTACTTTTCTTCATCCAACGGCTCCATTTAAATAGTCCGTTGGTTAATCCAACGGTACAGGTTCAAATTATTATTTTTTTGTTTTATATTTATATATTTATTGAATCCAACGGCTTAGATAGAATATAATCAAATCTAACGGTAAAAAAAAGATCTAACGGTCCAAATTTAAATCCAACAGCTAAAATATTTAAAAAAATTATTTAACTTAAAATTCAACCAAAAACTCTATAAATACCTATGTATTTGTTCAAACATCCACACAAAACTCACTTTTCTCCTACAATTCTTCCAATTTTTCTTTCTACCATTTCTTCTCATTTCCAAAATTTTCAAGATGGCAAAAGAACATGTTAGAGGTCGTAATAGGACCTTTGACGAAGATATTGTTTTCTGTTTGGCATGGATTTCTATTAGCGAAGATGGTGCCGTTGGCACGAATCAAAATAGAAAGGTTTTGTGGGGTAAAATCGTTGATAAGTTCCATGAAAACTTCAATGCTGGTCAAAGGGAAGTTGGTGGCGTTTATGATCGGTGGAAGATTATCAACAAAGCATGCACTTTGTGGAAGGGAAGCTTGGAGAGAGCCATGGATGACATGCCTAGTGGAAGGGGCGCCTCAGAAATTGTGAGTTT